TTTTATTTTGTCATAAGAATATTGTAAATATTGTAAGCTTTTTAACAAGATCGAGAGTCTACATGTAAATTTATCAACTTAGCAGTTTTAATAAATATAAAACAAAAATTTCTAAATCTATACTGTCTTCATACTACTATAGTAAATTCTTCATTTTAATCAAGTAATTATTATTGGTACTTTTGAATAAATTAGCAAAAAATAGTACGTATATGCTACACTATTTTAATGTTAGCAAATGATTTGACATTTCATAATAATTTTATTATTAAAGGTATGATTTCATGCATAAGCTGCGTAAAATACACGTAGTAGAATACGTAGTAACATACGTAGTAAACTTAAATTCATATGATTTGTCTACGCATCCTTAACTATACCGTAAGAGATTTACAATGGACAAGATGAAACAATACTGCAATATATTGTAATATATGTAAAATATATTGTAATATATTGTGAAATGAATGCATATGATAATTGGGTACGTACTATTTTTATAAAATTTCAAAAGGTTATCACGGAATTTTGAACCTTAATACGTACAGTACGTACGTACGAGTCTAGTGATCATACTACGTTTCAGGTTTAAGCGCGACTGCGTCGCGCAGTTGCCCCAATATTTTAATTCAGCTTATATAAAATTTTATATCATTTAATATAATATAAACCAATTATAGCATAAGAAACAGAAAGCGCAGTTCTGGTGTTACAAATAAGGAGAATTAAATAGCATAGTGATAAGTGAGTTGTACGTACCGGTAGGTAAAACTGATTCTAGAATAGAATTATACCGAGAGACAGGTTACACTAACGTATATGCAGAATGAAAGATCACCCTAATGTGGCTGAACGAGGTTATCGTTATGATGATTAGAGCAATAGATTACGTCACGGGTTTATACAATTTTATACAATTTTATACGATTTAATTTTATAATTTTATAATTTTATATAATAATTAGGGTTTTTTATTAACCAAATGGGGAATTATTAGTGCGAAGCACTTTTTGTTTTGATTTTCGAGTGTTGAACACTTTAATGGAATTATTTTTATTCCAGATGTATATCTTTACAATACATTGAAGGAAATTCAACGATTCACATTATTTTTCTGATTCCCCACCATTCTTGGAGATGGCAGGAATTCTTGGAATTTGTACGTACACGGCAAGGACCGTAGTATTTTCTTGGGGGGTTTTTTAAGGGTAGATCATCCCTTTTACAACGTATACAACGTATACCAAAATTTTGTCCAACGTTCGGTCCAAACATTCAAATTCTTTATAGGAATGAAAATAAGTTATCCTTAGTAATGCCAATTTGACAATGTTGTCCGATGACAATATTGATTTTTTAAAAAGATCGTTTAAATTACGAAAGCAAAAGATACGAAAAGACGAGTAACAGAAAGATAACAGAAAAGTAACAAAAAGGTAACAAGGTAACAGAAGATAACAGAAAGGTAACAAGGTAACAGAAGATAACAGAAAGGTAACATGAAAATCGCACAAATATAATAAATATAAACATAAAAAAGTATGTGTGTGAAGCTTACATATTACCGTTTTCTACATCTTTTACACTATACCAAAAAAAAGACAGTTCACTCTGTTATCTATATATGGATGTTATATCTGAATTCCAAATCCGGATTCTAGAAAAGAATAAGTTTCAGCAGAATATGGTAATTTATTACGTAAAGACAATTGATCTAAAAACCTTACTTACGCCAAAGTACATCAAAGTACATCAAAGTACATCAAAGTACAGCAATAGTCAAATATAGTAAAATGACAGTCTTAATAGTTCTTTAACGCGAAACTTTATGAAACAGAAGAGAATGAACATTATAAATCGAGAAATTAAAACCTACATATATAGAAAAACTTTATGCACAAGTGGAAATATTCAGTAATGAGGCGCTACAGTATTTTCGCGGTTTACGATAGTAATCAGTTACAGCAGTAATCAGTAACAATAGTAAATAATATTAACATAGTAATCATAGTAATTATAGTTACGACAGTAAATATGTTACAATTGCAACAGTAATCAGTAATAGGTTTACAACAGTTACTGTACAATACTGCAATACTGCAATAGAATGAAATAACGGAAATAACGAGAGATTCACTTTCTGCATATTAAATCTTGATAAAGAAAGATATCGTACTAGATTTGATAACAGGCCTAAAGTCATATTTTAAAAAAGTCATATTTAAAACATGATACTATGGTAAACAATGGCTGCGGATTTGTATTAATAGTTTTTTCAAGATGCAACGACCATATGAACATAGTTTTAAGAGATTATTTTTTCACATGATTATCATTTACTATTATCGTTACTATTACTGTATTATTATTATCAATTACTAATATCATTGTTAAATATATCATTTCATTTTGTCATGGGACCAACAATTAGACAATAGCATCGGTAAATTTCATATTGTAAACACGGGAAGATTTATTTTTTTAAAAGCAGCTAAAATTTGGTGCTATATATATAAAAATATAATTTTAAACTATTTTAACTATCTTTGAGTAATAAATAAATGCGTCTTATCTTAAACAAATAAAATAAATGCGTTTTAACTTTTTAACAAATAAAGAACGTTTTGTTTTACGTACACTACCCAATTTTAGATGCATCAAAGTAATACCGGTTTTTAAGATTTCCAAGGCTTAGTGTTGTCATAAACAATATAGATATTAATTTTGATTACCATGATCCTTTTTTAGTCATTTACTTACGTACGTATATATGTTACGTAGGTACGTACGTATGTACTTACGCATTTATTTTGATATCTGATATGTTCTCGTTCATTCTACAGTATGTAAACTGACTACGTATGTACTGTACGTATGTACTGTACGTACGTACGTACAGTACGTATATAAATTGACATGAGACACCTAATCCTGGATATTAATCTGCATAAGTATAAATTTAGAGTAATTATGTAGAGTAATTTAGAGTAATTATGTAGAGTAATTTAGAGTAATTAGAGTAATTATGTAGAGTAATTTAGAGTAATTAGAGTAATTATGTAGAGTAATTAGAGTAATTATAGTAATTACTTAGAGTAATGTGAGGGAGCTATAGTATTGGTACATATAATTAGTATGAACAATGAAAGCTAATTTTTTCATTGTATTAATTTATAAATTAGGTAAGCGGTTGAAAGGGAATATTTGTTTTTTGATGGGGTTTAGTTAACGTTAGAAACGCTCACACAAAGGTCGGATGTTAATAATAAAAAAAATTGTGGGGAATTGTCCTGAAGAAGTTTCGCATAGAATTGCATATACCGTAACTCGTAACTTATGTAACTCATGTAACTCAATGATGGATTTTGGCCACGTTTTTGATAGTTAAAATTATCTAAAATATGTATGATTAAAAATTTGTCAGTTAATCCTTAGTTCTTTTTTTTTTTACATATTTAATTATAATAATAATTACAATAATAATTATAAATAATTTTGCCGCAGAAAAATGTACCCAGATCATCTTGGGTCCACGAAGATTTCGCAGTTTTCTATTGCCGATAAACAGTAAATCATTATGAGTCAGCTTAATTTAGTAAAATTCTATGACACATTTAATATCGTTGTTCTACTGTAGGTTAAAAAAAAAAGTTATCCTAAGATCGCTTTATGGAATTAATATAACGATAATGAGTCAACAAAAAAAGAGACCAAATTTATAAAGATAAATTAATTATATATATACACATATACATATATAAATACATATACATATACATATACATATCTGATATACATATATGATTTATATAATATATTATATATTATATATCATATAATATTATAATCTTGATGTCAAGAATAACGGGACAGCTCTATGACCGTATGATGCAGTGAAAATCAAATTACAGTTTAAAACTTGGCGGTAAAATTTATTAACCTATAAATTGTATCACACAATAACGAATAAGCATATTGGCATATTAGTGTGTGACGGTATTTACAAACCACGCGAGAATTTCATTGTTTCTGTTCATTCATTAGTCTTGACTTCTTTGTTCTAAATAAAAGAATAAGAGTATCAGTTGATCACTTTCGAAGATGATTGGGAATGATCGGGGAATAATCGGGGATTGAATTGGGAATGATCGGGGAATAATCGGGGATTGAATTGGGAATGACTGAAGAATAATCGGAAGAATAATCGGAAGAATAATCGGAAGAATAAATCGAGGAATGATTAGGAAATGACAATAATTTTTAGATATTTTGAATATTTAAGATATTTTGGATATTTTGGATATTTAAGATATTTTAGATATTCAGGCGTCGCTGCGTATATGGTATAATATGGTATAATGTGGTATAATGTATAATGTATGTGTAGTATAATGTGGTATAACGAGGAAAATAACTAATAATCGGTCATCTTCCTATTACGCTATTATGCTATTATGCTATTATGCTTCTTTTGCCGATTATATATCATAATTAGAAGCAGAGAATCTCAAAATGTTTAAAGATGGTTCTTTAATTGCACCACGGAAAAGATCTTCCGATTACGTTTTAGCTAAATTACATCATTAAGAATCTCGGAACATCTTTTAAAAATTACTTTGATGTCTTCAAACATAATTTTGAAAGATAGACACAAGTCAAGTTTATTATTATTGTAATAATTAAATTCCGGACTTTCATTAAAATCCTGTTTACAAAAAAAAATACTAAAAAAAAAAAAAGAAAAAAATTGTGCGCTGCATTACTCGCCGATTTTGTCGATCTAGAAGTTCTACTATGTTTTTTTCATTATGCATTGTCATACTATAAAGTGATGAATTCCCTTCTTTTGGTTATATGTAACATTCAAGGATTGCCAAGTAAGCAAAACTTTATCACCAAATGATGGCGCAGACATTTATAATTTAACTATAAATATAGGATTTGATTCACCTAAGTTGTAAAGTAAATTCTTGTACGTACGTTGGCTGCGCCGCGTTTTCATGTCAAATCAAAGAAACCTGCAGTATGGTATTGCGGCGGCATTAGGTGGAGACGATAATACACTCAACATTCAACATACGAGCGGTATAATATCCGCTCTTCCCTTCCCTCCAACTGACCAGGCTTTGAATTTGGCCTTGAATTCATTATGCTCGACAAAGGGAAACTTTCCCCTAGATGCATTTAAACTTTATCGGGAACTATTTCTAGAACACTTACAATCTCAAGGAGTACAATTATCTGACTCAACATCCATAATACTGGATGCTTGGTCAAAGGAACCCACGAATGTCAAAACCTTTTATTTAGGGCAGTGTTCTAGAAATAGTTCCCGATAAAGTTTAAATGCATCT